AAATCACCGACGTAGAGTTTCTATTTCGCAGATCGGTAAGCGGACACGGACTTTAACTATTATTGTTGTTGTTGTTGTTGTTGTTGCCACACCCCCACCCTCCAACCCCGCGCAAAATCCTTCACTCACAACAATAGCCAAAGATCTGTCCTCCTCGCCCATTCTCACACCGATAATTGAATTTTCTCACTTTTTGCCCAAACGACACTCCCTTTGATTTGCCGATCATCTCTTATCTTAAATTTTCATTTTCTCTTTGCTCAAATTCCATCTTTGTTATATATCTTTTTTTTTTTTTGTTTTATATAAAATTATGGCACGAGTTTATCTATTGAATTAGGTAAGTTTCATATTTTACGTGCTCGCATAATGGAGTGACACCGATTAATCATTTAAATTTCAGAATGAGTTGTCACTTAATGTAGAAATGTAAATATTCTGAATGAAAATTGTGCTATAGGAAAGCATAAAGCGATCTGACATTATTGTCCGTACAAAAGTACCAACACAACAAATGGAATTTGTATTTTATGCTTTAAAATGAAATAGTTGTGTTCGTTTCACTCACCCATACACAATTCTCATTTATCTTTTATATAAAATTATATTATATATATTTATTCATTACATTTTGCCAAATATACTTTACGTTAACATTTATTTACTAATTCCTTAAATCTGTACTTAGTCGCGCGTACTTTAAATAATTTCGAAACAGCTTAATTGATAAATCTTATGTTGTAAACTGATTTTTTTGAAGATTTATTCCATAATATTACGTTTTCACGCACAACGATTAATAGTTGAATTAAATTACTTTTAATAGAATAGCATTAGTCATAAATATTGTTATACGATTTTGAAATAAATGATAAAAAAAAAAAAACAGACATCCATATTAGGTATTCCAGAAAGTAAATTCTTAGAAAGTAAATTCATAATAAATTTAAGTAATTTAATTTTAATTTGCAGTGAGTCTGCATGGATTAAAAGGTATTTAATAAGATTCTAATGCTTTTAATTGTTATTTATGATACAATACATGCCCCGTTTGGTTTTAATGGGAGGGAGAGGAGAGAGAGAGAGAGAGAGAGAGAGAGAGAGAGAGAGAGAGAGAGAAAATTTTTAATATCAAACAATAATGATTTTTTTCTTTTTTCTTTTTTTTTTTTTAATTCTAATCTTATTTAATATATTAAAATTTTTGTCTGAACTAATTATTTTAGCAGTGCTACGTTTCTCCATTAAATGATTATTTATGGAGAATTCGAAGTAATTTCATGTAAAAATTGTTACGAATGGCGAGAATCTAATGGGATATTTATTATTATAAGCTAGAGGTAATGCGATTTCTAAAATGTTGCTCTACATCTAATAATAATTGCCTGATTAATTTTTGTTAAAAGCAATTGTCGTGTTAAGCCATGCGAAGGAAGTGCAGTTAAAACATCCTGTCATGTACATATGACAATAGACTTAACATTTATGTATAATTTGTTCTACAATGGCAATGGATACTTTATAACAATACTTCTAAGATAATATTTATTTTTATACAATTTATAATGCCTAGTAAAGTGAAATAAAGCCATCTTTCTTATTTCACCTAAACTGGATAAATTATGAATTGCAACATATTATGTGTGTATAACAATAAAATATAAGTTTTAAAAGATTAAAAATACATACACGTACGAGAATACCTCTTATGTACACACGCGCGCGCGCGCGCGCACGCACACACATATTTACGGAAATATTAATCTACAAGACGAAAAATCTTATCAGTTTATCAATAGCAGTTTTTAAATACGTTTTCTTAAAATTATGAAATATTATTATTATTAAATTATTACCGATTATAAATTAAATTTTTGTTCTAACTTTCATATCCACGCATTTTCTCTGCCTTCAACGATGGTTCGACTACAAGTTTTTTTCTTAACGGTTAATTCAAATTATAAACATCGACTGTTAACGGTGTAATATTGTTTTTTTAGCGGTTTTCAGTTGTTTTCAAATCATTTTCATTTTTTAGGATAAATTTAAATATGAGAATGGAGTGCACATCATTTTATCCTTGTTTCCTCAGAGGCAATGTGAATATAAATTAATTATTCGGTAATAGTATGCGCATACATTAGAATAATTTTTTGCAAACTGGAACTTAATATAATTTTGTTCATTTAATAAAATTATGTGACTTTTTGATAGCTTTAAACAAATGACGAAACACTTAGTAGAGCTTACATTCTTTCTTAAGTTGTTATCTAACTATAAACATTTAAGTGCTTGTGGTATTGCGTCGAAATCTGCATTGATAACATCAAATAATATTTTCTAAATAATAAGGGGGTTTTCTTAAAACTTAATAAGATATCATTTTCTTTTCACTCTCTTCGTTCCGCATATTTTCCTTTTATTATAATTTTTAATTATTGCCAATACTAATACTTAAATTGGATTTTTGTATATAAAGTTGAGTAGCCTAATTAATCATTTTGATAAAAAAAAAAAAAAGACAAAAATTCTTAAATAAAGAAATTCAAGAGAGTCGTAGATTTACGCTCAATATATATATATTTTTATTTTTAACGAAAATAATGATATGAAAATATCTTTGGTTTCGTTAAAAACAAAAAAATCCACCATATTTGTATAATTAATATAAATTTTAATGCGTATTTTTCTATATACACCTCTCCGTATGTGCGTGTGCGTGCGTGTGCGTGTGTGTTCTTTTTCTTTTTTTTCGCATTCAAATGTCATGTCAATTTTAAAGATTTTTAATTTTTTCAACACATTGTTTCTATACTTGTGAATAAAATTAAGAAAAATGTTTAATGTACAAGAATGCATCTCATAGTTATTCAAAAAGTTATCATGATCTGGATTATATTTCTTATTAATTTTTTGCTCCTCGCATTAAAGTGAATTAATAATATGCTTGAAATATCAATTTTTTGTAATAAAATTCTATGAATTTTCATCTTTTATTTTCCCATTTTTTATTCATTATTATTATTAAGCACTCGAATTCCTCAATTTTGCAACGACTTTTGCTCGTTTCTAATATTAACTCCTTTTTCACATTTATCATTGGCCCATATAGTTTGTTTGCATTTTCTTTCATAATAATCGGCTATGAATATTTTATAGCCTTCTTTGTTCCTTTTACACAATCGCCAATGGTTATCGCGATGGATCCATTCGAATATTTCAAAATCCTAATGAATTTTTAACGAGATGAAAAATATGCACGACAAGAAGTGCAAGCGCCGCAATGTAAATTCTTCTCGTTTCTTGAAGAGATAGAGAGAGAGAGAGAGAGAGAGAGAGAGAGAGAGAGAGAGAGAAGGAAGAAATAAAGAAACAAGCAAAACGACAGTTTTACGAAACAAAAACTCAAGTCTGTAACTTTAATTAAGAGTATGTTGAGCTGGTACGAACAGAGTCATGGTCATACTTTTAAATAAAATGTAGGCGTTCGTTCGCGTATTAAGGGCGCGCGATTAAGCGCAATAAAATTAATTAACGAAGCTTCGCTTATTTAGCTCGATCGCAACGACTTTTTATATTTATTTTGGCGATGTGAATTTCGACAATCGTCAAGAGTCATGATTTTTCTCCATCGACTTGGTTCCATGAGGGTGTTACTATGAGCTGTGAAAGGGGGCTTGGGGGTCGGAGAGAAAAAAGAAGAATTATTTTTTATTTGAAAATTCGATTCTCTTGTATAATCGATACCTATATACATGATATTTTCAACTTACACACTCGAGGAATACGATAAATTTTAACGATTTTTGCCGAAATAAATACGTACACCTACGTACTGCGCAAGCGATAAAATAAAAGTGAAATTTTATTTCTACCTAGAGAATGCTATTGAAAGCGTAAAAACGATAACAACAATAGTAGGCAAAGATTCATTTTCGTCGGTTCTTGTTCTTTTCTTACATTGTTCACGGCAAAGTCAATTACCACCAGACCCGTCGCCGTTACCGATAATAGCCAAGAAGCGAGACGGCCAAAGAGATTCGCATGCGTATGCGCGAGTGCACGCTTTCACCTTATGCGTTAAAATTATAAAAGTCACGTGTCGGATCCTCTCGAAGTTTTCCCATTAGAGTGCCAACTGTCGGCTCACCTCCCCCTCCCTTAGCCCCGACAGGCAGCCATTACCGCCGCCGCCGTTCGCGCCACCCGCTCGACCCGACCAACGCCAAGTTTCTCTCATATATATATATACATATATATATATATATATATATATACATAAACATTTGACGGGTAGATCGAGGGAGGGATAGGTTAGAGGGAGATTTATACGTTTAGACGAAAATGGACAAACAAGTCAGCGCTTAGCCGCCGTTACGGTGTAACAATTGCGTCGTGCGGCTTCGAGCGCCCGCGAGTAAAGTAGTCGAAGTAAGCGTAAGGACGCTCGGTGAAAAGAGAGGTGATGATGCTGACAACGTTAATTAAGCCAAGCATCAGCAACGACAGCAGCAGCACCTTGGCCGCATAGACTCTGGAATCGGCAAATAAGCGGCGAATAAGCCGGCCGCGCTATTGCCAGCCAGGGTAACGTTCGCGGTGGATAAAGTAGAAATCGTTGGCTAAGCCGGTCGCGTCGGCGGGGGGCGATTCGCTGCTCGCCCGGACTCGTATCTCGTTTCGGCTTTGTCTACGGCGATGGCGGTAGCGGCTGCGGCGGCCCGGAGCTCTCGAGCGACTCCGACGACTCGATGAGAGCCGTTGTCGACGTCGTCACGCGCGCAACACACGTACACGGCGTAGCGGAGACAGCCTAACCTCGCGCGCGCGCGTGCCTTGCGGATCCCGTGCAGGAGGAGGTAGCCCAAGGAGCCAAGAGATGCGCACCCAGTCGAGATAACGAGGACCCCACGCGCTCTGACAAGGCCACCCCTCGCGCGCGCGCGCGCGTAATCTACACACGGACTAGCGCACGAGACAGGCAGGGGGGCAGGCAGGCAGGCAGGCAGGCAGGAAGACAGGCAGGAAGACAGTCGGACAGTCAGACTGATAGACACTCATTGGCCCACTCACACGCGCATATATTTACTTATTTTTAACGAGAAGCGAGACGCCAGGGAGGAAGCATGGACTCGGCACCCTCGTTGGAAACGGTCTACCAGGCCGTCTACTCGCTCTATAATAATCCGAACCCGTCCGAGAAGGAGAGGGCCTCCCAGTGGCTTGGTGAACTACAGAAATCGGTCAGCTTTAGCCAAGCGTTTATACGAGCTTGTCGTCGTCAAAGTCCTGTCGACAAACTCACACTAACCTGCTTACGCTCTTTTCTCTTCTCTCCTATTATTATTTTTTCTCTCTTCCATTATCGTTAAAATCACCATGGCTTATCTCCACTCCCTAACCTACCAACGACTCTAATTGCCAATTTTATATCGCTCGACCACAAAGATGCTACTTTCCGCCCGCAATTTATTATCCTATTGTTAATAATTTTTCTTTTCTTTTTTTCTCTCTGTTTTTTCATTTCTCTTCCTTTCGTTTACCCATCGCTTTTTTTTTTTTTTTTTTTTTTTTTTTTTTTTTTTTTTTTTTAACGATCGGTGCACCCGAGTTTTGGCAGTAATTTGCAAAATTTTCAATTTTATTTCAACCATCGCTGCTTATGGAACGATATGGACTGTCCAATTTCACGTATAAAATTCATTGGCCACTTGGTTATTGAAATTAAGAGAGAATAAACGCGATGAATAATAATCGTTGTGGTTGTGACGCGGTAACTTAATGTTACGAGTGTTTTTTGTTGTTTTGTTTATGTTCGCGTTAATGATCGATGGATTAAACGAACCGTTTAATTTTCTAGGTGTATGCGTGGAAAGTGGCGGATGAGATGCTCCAGCAGAAGAAAGATTTGGAATCTTGTTACTTTGCGGCCCAGACCATGAGGACAAAAATTCAGTTATCTTTCCACGAACTGCCAGTGGTCTCTCACATTTCTCTCAGAGACTCTCTTTTAGATCACATATCGCAAATTAATAAAAACACGGATACAGTTATTGTAACGCAGGTTCATAAATCTATTAAGCTTTAGTATTTATTGGCATTGTAATTTTCTTAATGTTTTTCGTATATAATACTTGCTGTATTTAGTTATGCCTGGCTCTAGGTGACTTAATACTCCAGATGGGTTCCTGGCGAGAGCCAGTCATGGACTTGATACAAAAATTTGGGGACAGCGTGGGTAGTCTTTGGCCCCTTTTGGAAATCTTAACCGTTCTACCAGAAGAAGTTAATTCGCGATTTCTTAGGCTTGGTGCGAATCGAAGACAACAAATTACTAGCAATTTAACTAATAACGGAGAGGCGGTTTTAGAATTTTTGGTAATTAGCGATATAAGAAGCGCATCCACCGACACTCATCGTGTTATCACATTGTTGTTTAATATTTTATACTGATTGTTTTAGACTACGTGCCTGAAGAAGGTTGACGATGTACAAATATATATTAGAATACTAAGGTGTTTTACAAGTTGGATTACTATACAAGCGATATCCCTTACTGCCCCGTTGTTTACCAATATTGTTACATTAGCATTTGAAGTAAGCTTACATAATTGAAAGATTGTTCTTGTAATGATTATTTTTTTACTCTCTTTACTTAATGTAGTTGGAAGAGAATAGTTGAAATTTGTTAAATTATAATCTTGGATTGTTTTATTAGGTCGGAAGGTGCAATGAATTGCGTTGACTTTTGTTTTTTCCTAACTTCCTTCCTTCTCTTTCTCTCTCTCCTCCCCCCCCCCCGCTCCCTTCTCTTCCCGTAGTTGCATCGACCAGCACTCTGTTTTGTTATCGCTTATGATTATTTCATACTTTGATTGTAAAATATACTAAACATCAATATCTCATAGGTTTTGCAAAATAATATGACAGGATCTCAGTTACACGAACCAGCTGCTGATTGTATTTCTGTAATATTACAAATTTTACAAAAAGATATAAGTATAAAAGATCCAAACACTGGCGATCCAACCGTACAATTACAGCAATTACAATTAGACCTTTTTTCTCGTATAGTGACATTAGAACAAGCTTACCATCTATCCGTCGCTCACGAAGACATAGATAAGTAAGATTATTTCTCTGTATATATTTATTCCGCTTTAATAATTAATTGAGCACATTAAGGATTTGAGAATCGAGTCTGAAATTCTTTTATTAAACTATGAGCAAACTTTCCAAGTGCGAGTTTACTTAAATTTTTATTTACTTTTCCAAGCTTTTGTTGTTATAAATATATGTAAATTATTTTTAAAACAGCATAAGACTATAAAAATTATGCTCTAGTAACCGATAAAATTTAACCTTTCAGATCAATCAATTATTGTCGTATTTTTACCGAATTAGCAGAGACTTTTTTAGAAACAATTATAAATGGAAGTATGAATGGCAAACAGCACTACGCTATAAAATCATTAAATTTTGCATTATTTTGTGTTGGTCATTACGATTATGAAGTATGTATATTTAAGATTATATTACATAATATTATTGCCATTGATAATTTGTTCGTTTATAGTAATTGCAACTTGCATCCTCGTAGGTAGCACAGATAACATTTAATCTTTGGTATCGACTGTCTGAACTTCTTTATCAAAGAAATGACGATGATCTGACGAGTGTATTTAAACCTTACATCGAAAGACTTATCGGTGCTCTTTGCCGGCATTGCCAAATGGAGCCAGATCATGTAAGTAAATTTCTTTATTTATGAATATAATATGTAACTGCAGAAGTAGAAACAACAATGATATTGTCATATTTCTTCGTCTTTTTGTTTTTTGTTTTTTTGTTTTTTTTTGCTTATTTTTTTTTGTCCTTCAAAGCTTGGCTTAATCGAAGAAGATGGATTTGCCGACTTCAGAATGCGAGTGTTTGAATTAATAAAAGACGTGGTCTTTGTTGTGGGAAGCAGTCATTGCTTTCGACAAATGTTTTCGACGTTAACTGGTGGACATGGACCACAAGGTCAAACCATTACTGTTCCTACCTGGGATTTGATAGAAGCTGCTTTATTCGTTATGCAAGCAGTGGCCAAAAATATTTTACCGTAAGATGTACTTGGTAACTTACACGATTCTAATATCTTCTTAACTTTATGTACTTAATACTCGATGATTGTCTTTAGTGAAGAGAATGACGTGGTACCAAAGGTTGTAGAGGCTATTTTAAATTTGCCTGCAAATACGCACATAGCCGTGCGATGCACAAGTATACTTTTATTGGGCGAACTCTGCGAATGGATAAACAGTCATCCTCAATCATTAGGTATTTTTTTGCTTTGTTTTTGTTTCTCTACGAATACTCCATTCAAGCATTACGCAAAATATTTTGTTTATCAATAATTGTTCTGCTATAGAGCCAATATTAAATCTTTTATTGACTTGCTTGAGTCAACAAGGATTAGGAAATGCGGCATCTAATGCTTTACAAAGCATTTGCACAGCGTGCCCAAAACACATGTCATCGCACTTTCAAGGCTTATTACAAATTGCTCGATCGGTTGATAATTTTGCCATCAGTAATGATTCAGCGATCGGTATTCTTAAAGGTATACACAATTTTCAAGCGCTGAAAGCATCTCAGCATATAATTCACTATTCCTGTTTATAAGCTTTATCATTATTATCATTATTGTCATTATTATTATTATCATTATTATTATTATCATTATTATCATTATTGTTATCATTATTATTATTATTATCATCATTATTATCATTATTATTATCATCATTATTATCATTATTATTATCATTATTATTATTATTATTATTATTATTATTATTTTGCTTTAATCTCAGTAATTTTATTGACATAAATATTTAGGTGTTGCTAAAATTTTAACAAGGTTATCGAAAGATGAAATTGAAATATCGATGAAAGAACTTTGTTGGTTCCAAGCGAGACCAATGTGTCATTTGTTAGAGGATAGAGTGCCCGTTGAAAGAGGTGGTAAAAGTGATCCTGTATTGTGGTTGGATAGATTAGCTGCAATTTTCAGAAACGTAACTCTACAAATTAATGATTCTAACGATACGCATCCTTGTCAAGCAGCTGCTAACGAGGTTATTAATTGATCAGTGTGCACAGTACAGTAAATTAAACGCAAATTAAGCGTTAATGTTTGTAATATTATTTCTAGATGTGGCCAGTTTTATCAAATATTTATACCACTTATCAACACGACTCGAGAATCATGGAAAGGTGTTGTCGGTGCTTACGATTTATAGTACGCTGTCTTGGCAAACACTTTGCCCATCTTTTAGAGCCCCTGGTTAAACAAGTATTAACACATTTATAATAATTCATATTTTCAATAATACGTTATTAAATGTTTTTCTAAATAACCTTTTATCTTTCCTTCATAGATTGTTCAATTATATGCTGCGCATCAGCACAGTTGTTTCTTGTACCTTGGCTCAATTTTGGTTGACGTATTTGGTTCTGATGTGGAATATGTCTCGGGACTCTTAGGAATGTTAGAGGCTTTCATTGGCCCAACTTTCACGATACTTCAAGAAACGGACGGACTCAAAAATCATCCAGATACTGTGGATGATTTATTTAGACTTTGCGCCAGGTAATTGAAGAAGATCCTGTTAAAGATCCTGAATAAGATGCTAAAATATTTTACTAAATGGTTCTCTAACATTCCTTTTCACTTAGGTTTCTACAAACGTCACCCATACTATTTTTACATGCACCTATGATAAATAGCATCTTAGATTGTGCTTTAATGGCTTGTAGCTTAGATCATAAAGTTGCCAATAGTTCGGTCATGAAATTCTTTTTGGATCTTCTCTATTGCGGACGTAATTGTGAGGTGATTAATCAAATGCGACTCGATAAATGACTCGACACAATTTTACTTTAATCTTAATACTACATATATATATCTGAGTAGAATTAATTAACGAGTAATTAATTTTTTTTATCTTAGAATCAATCAGACTTTACTATTAGACGACAATTGGTTCAAGATATTTTGCGAGAAAAAGGACAGACGTTAGTAACAAGGCTTCTTCATTCGGTTGTATTTTCTTTATCGTCTTACATGATGTCAGATGTTGCCGATGTCTTAGGTGAATTAATTTTAATCAGTAGAGAGGTAATGTATAAGAATCTTCAAATGTTCTATGCCTTTATCATATTACTTTAAATTGCTAACGGTCGTTCATATTTTCTTGTTAAAATTTATTAGCTTACGTCAGTGTGGTTAGAGCAAGCTATAAAGCAAATGCCCGTTGAAAATGCAGGAGGATCACCAGCTGCAACGGTAGAACAACTCCAAGAATTTCATAGTGTTGTTTTTTTGGGTGTTTTTTTTTTTTTTTTTTTTTTTTTTTGTTTTTTTATTTACTATATATTTATGATAGAACTAATTGAGATTTATGATACGAGCAGACCGTTAAATGTTCTTATCATATTCGTTTTTATATATTCAATTATTTGTTTATTGTTGCTCATGAAAAATTATTATTTATACGTTGTGTATTTTCAAAAGTTGCAGGGCCGATTATTCATATACAGTTGTAGAAGCATTAAGGAATTTCACGCGCTTGTATCGTTAAATGACAGGCAATAAAAATTGACGAAAATCGCTGACATTTTGAGTAAAAAGAAAAGAATAAAGCTTTACTAATGATAACATTGGTAATATTTATGATAAAGCAATTCGTAATTATTACACAACACACCGCTCTTGATTAATATTTAGAAAAAGAAAATATTGTGTATAAAATAGTATTTTATTCCTTGGACAAAAAGTAACTATGAACAATGTTGAAGAAATTTAACAAACGATAATTCGTTTTTTATCCGAAGAAAAGTTGATTTCTTATCTGTATAATTTTTTTGCAATAAGTTTTACATTCATATTGAATTATTAAAAGTGTCATTTTTATAACTAAAAAATGAATGTTATTGCAAGATCTGCGTATGTATTATACAAATGTAAAAAGATGCAAACAATCGTTTGTCTATGTACATTGAACCCTGTGATGTCTGACATATAGATTAGTTAAATACAAAATCGCCATATTTTGACGATTATTATGGGATATTTTTTTTTCTTTTTTTTTTTTTTTTTTTTTTCTTCCAACTAATCATGATCAGTGTCGAACCAATTTTTATATACATTTATATAAGTTATAGATTAATCTTTTGTAACACTTTTCAAATACTCGCTCATAAAAGAAGCAAGTGTGCTGACGTGTGATTGTAAATATAAAAATAAACTAACTTTTTTTATTTTTTATGATTTTATGATACATGATTGATTAAAAGTGTAAAATATTGATATCCTATTTTACATTCACTCGATAGTATAATTGAAAAGTCATTCAACTATGATGATTCATCGACATATTCAAAATCTTACTTTGCTTAACTAATTTTAACATTGCGTTCTTATACAAAAAATGTTGTTAACAATATCCGTTAAAATCTCAAGACTTTATATTAAATTAATAATATGAATTTTATGAGTTTCCTACAATTATGCAATTATGCAAAATAAACTTATGCGATCTTATACATATTTAGTAACCAAAAGATGAACAAATTCGATAAGCTGTCTAATGTGAAATTAATTGAAATGTAAATCCAAAAAAAAGAAAAAGAAAAATCGAAAAAAGAAAAAAAATTTTAATAATTCTTTTGAAAAAATATAACATTTTTTTACTTAGTTCAAATTTACTTAATTATTTTCAAATCGATGTAATTTTATATAATATTGTAAACGATTGTTTAATAGAAATACACAATTTAATTTTGTTTAATAGAAAATTCTTATATTTAAGTAAATAAGATCTTGTTAATCGTTATAATTCTAATGTACATTTGTACATGCAGTTTAATAATAAAATGCGTAGCACAATTAACATAAATTTCAAACACTTAATATAGCAAAGAATTCGAGAAAATTCAAATTATTAAGTTACGTTGCTTAAAAATTCAACTAAAATATTAATTTATGATTTATCACGAGTAGCGTATTTAATAATTAAGAGAAATATGAAAAATATATGAAATATTGAGCGCTCTGTATATTTTATACAAATCTGAAAAGAAATAAATGTTGATTCATTTATGTGTATTAAATGAATCGATCTGTGATGTCCATCCACTATCAAATAAATTATTACGTATTAAAATCATTTAAAGTATGACTAAATTATTTAAAATCTTAGTAAATAAAAATGAATTTACAACTAATACATTTATATTTTTAAAATTATTGTATTTTTTTAACAAGATACTTATATAATGTAAATAATTAGAATTTTTTAAAATATGTAGTAAATAAATGCGAAATGCCCGTATTCATATTGTACACATATCCATACGTCTTCTTTTCAAATTATAAATTCATTAATGATAATTTAAAGTTATTATATTATTAAATATATACTTGAATTAACAAATTTCAACTTAATATGCAAGTTTCTCATTTGGTATGTTAATATTTTTATCTGTAAAAAAAAACTTAAAAAAAAAAAAAAAAAAATTTTTTTTTTTTTTTTTTTTTTTTTTTTTTTTTTTTTTACAAAAGAGATGTAAAATATATACTTCCAACTTTTTATATAAAAAAAATATTTACATATAAAATTGAATTTTTATAATTATCAGAAGGTCGAAGCAAAATTAATAAGTTTGTTTAAAATGAATATTAATAAATTCGACATTCATGTACCGATATGTAATAATAAATTTATGAAATATGTAATTATTATGTAAATTTTAAGTGGTTTGTTAATTTTTCCATACATCCTATTAGAATCTATATTTTGTCATCGTTTTTTTTTTTTCCTATTAGAATCTATATTTTGTCATCGTTTTTTTTTTTTTTTTTTTTAATATACGAGCTCTTGATCATTGTATAAATTTATTTGATTTTTAGATTTACTTTAATTAATGTAAATATTCTATATGTATTTACTACTAGTATACTTACTTTTACATAAATAATACAGTTTATTTCTATACGTTTTAATTTATATTAAATTAAGACGATTGTAAAATATAGTTTCTAAGAATAATCGATTTCAAATATTTTAATTGAAATAAACCTTTTTATTGAATAAATCAATTGATTTAAATGTATTTTATTCTGTTATTATTAAATAAGTTTCATTAATTTATTAAATGCAGTAGATTGTGTATAAATAAGAATTAAAATACATTAATTGAGAAATTTGTATGCGATAATAAATTATTTATTTAATTTTCAAGTTTCGTTAATTAATAATTAATAATTTTTTTATTTAAATACGTCTATTACATTTTTGCGAGAGAGAGAATACACGTGGGTGTATTTCATGCCTTTTTCTAATACGTGAATTCGGTATTTTTATTGAATACATCAATTGAATTTTATTGAACTTACGTAAATTGGGTGTTTAAATAAATTATATTAAATAATCAACAATCATATTGAATAATTTTTAAAATGTAGGATATATAATTATAATAATATTTAATTGCGTACGATTTTATATTGTATGTTTACACAATTTGCTACATGATATTGAAGAAAATACACATAAATTACTAAAATAACGTTTACCCTCGTTTGAACCGAGTAAAGATATTTTGAAACTTTCTAATATTAATGTTTTACATTCGTTTAAACAGACTGCTCTGTTAATAAATTTACTGTTTTCCAATAGATTATAACTACCGTCGAGCTTAAAAGAAAAGAAAAGAGAATGTAAATAAATTCTATCGGTTCCATCAATTATCAAGAAAAAATCGTACCGAAATTATCATAATAGTAACATAGATTAAGCAATAATATATATGCGCAAACGTATATATATATATATATATATATATATTCTACCACACTTTTTAAATGTGTGTAGGTAAATTTTATAGATACAATGGCTACATTATACAATGTATAGTATATTAAATGATACTATCATAATTAGAATTAATAATTTTCAGTTTATTTATTATTCATTATCATTGCATGAATAGAGACAATCAGACACAATAATTAAATTAAGAAACGATTCACTAAGCATTTTATTTATACTGCGCTGTCTTTTCGTAGTGTATATATATATGTTTTTTTTTTTTTTTTAAAGTTCAATGTGATCAATTTTGAAGGAATGTTATTAATTAATTTTTTTAATAAGTATTTCTTCATCCGTTGCCATTTAATTTACATATTATTATTTAGAGGTTATTGACTCTGCATCGGGTCTCTATCGTGTGATTTTAATTATTTTCGTAAATAAAATTTTGACGTTATGTTGAGATTACTATTTACCATTTGTTTTTATTGTATTGAATTATATTTACGTATATTAGATATGTTTGCTTTGTCGTATAATTATGCTTAGTTTATTAAATCGATATTAAAATCTTTTATTAATATTAATATTTGTTTACATTATATTCAATTGACTATATTAAAAAATTTCGAACAAATACCAAATTTCATTCCTAAGATAAAAGATTCACTTTTAAGTTTTAATTTTGTATTATACATCGATTTTCTACGGCTATTCGCACTATATTATGAAATAATGATGATAATAAAAAAAGAAAGAAAGAAAAAAGAAATGAGAATATGCGATCGATAATGCGTATTGATGATAAGTCATCATCAACATTATTACTATTTTTTATACATTACATTTATTACATGGATATTACATTTTACATTTATTTATACTTATGCATTGAGGGAACATATAAGCGGTCACGAGGACAATTCTCGTTCTATTTTTATTAATAATATTCATTTGAAATACTACGCGAGCATTTAGTATTAAAAATTGTACTTATCGATAATTGTGCCTCGATGTTTTTCTAAATTATATTTGCTCATTACTTTATTAGAATTTATTATGTACAGAGGAAAATGTAAATGAAAATGAGAATTTCCGTTAGGTAAATGGCGCTGTTATTATGAAAATAATTATAATGAGTAAATGCCCAAGTCTCAGTGGGTTTCGACGAGGTGAGCTTTAAACATTTTCATTTCGTTCGTTTCAATTGAAATCGCAATATTTGATCGAGACGACGATGCATTGATATTATCGAGCGTTGAAAGTAATATTTCCCATAGAACTTTCCTCTCACCTCGCATTTGGCCTTTTTCTTATAATCCTTCGCTTGTCCATAATTTTAGCAACTAATCAATAATCCATAAAATAATGTTTATTCCATTTCTTCACGATTTCTTGTTTGAGGGCCAAGGAAATTTTATAAAATCGAGCCACCAACATGTAAGGCGACAAGTAACGAGGCAAAAGTAAAGGTTAGGTATTTGATTTTTTTGTAAAGTCGTGGCGATGGAACGGAGACTCGGAGACTCGAGCCGGAAATAACTTACAACGTTGGGTTACAAGCTGCAACGTCCCCGCCCTCCTAAATTAAAAATCACGACATTAACAACAACAACGACAATAATCATAATTATATAGATAATTGTGATAATAACGTGTAATAATAGTAGGGTTTTTGGGCTTACGCGTGCCGGGGAGTAAGCCGAAAAGGATAGAAGGAGTGTTGAGGAAGGGAGGGAGTGAGCGAGCGAGCGAGGGAGAAAGGGTTGGTCGTGGCGTTGGGGGGGGTGGAGGAGGAGGAGGAGGAGGAGGAGGAGGAGGAGGGGGGCGGTGGT